GTTCAAAGTGCGCACTTTTCATCTGCTACACGAATTTTGGAAGTTGACGGTCATTTTTCTAAAAACTGTGCATAACAAGGTAGGTAAATTGAATGCTTTAGATTCTGCTATAAATGTACTTTCATTTTACAAAAGGAATTATTGATGTATATCGCTTAGTTGCTGAGAAAATAAATACTTTCGGTGGTCTAGTCGCGCGCGCGAAAATGAGTAAATTTCAACTTTAGCGGCCTATAACTTTTGTCAGGACCACGGGAAAATGTCGTAAAGCGAGATTCTGAAGGTTCAAACATTTCTGAACAAAATGGTGTGGGTCCCAATTCTTTCTACTCCGAAAAAAAAACTACCTCAAATAAGCGAGTTAGCGCCGGCTCTCCGCTGCACTAATAAATGAAGTACACTATTCACTTTTTGCTTATCTTATCGCCTTTTGTATGAATTTATATTTTAGCGCATTTTTTGAAGAATTAAAAAAAATTAATTTTGGTACTCTAGTTAAAGGTCTCAACGAAAAGAAATAATTTCCACCAACCATACTCCTCCTCCTCAACGGATCGGTTATAATTTCTTCTATCTGAAGAGCGGATTACCGGAGGAGGGGGGGGGGGGTTGCTCGCAAAGAGCGATTAGGACGTCTGGAAGAAATATATCCATTGGTGATTATGGACGAGACACATCTACTGGTGATCTCCAAACTTTTAGTGCAAATACTTACTGCAGAACGGAGTGTCGGAGGAGGGTACTCGCAAAGGGCGGAATGATCGTCTAAACGAGACACATCTACTAAATAAATAAAAATATAAAGCATCTACAAAGGGAGAAACAATATTGGAGAGAACTTCTCTTCTTGCATTATATAGCGTAGATTTTGAATGTGTGTCAGGCGGCCTTAACATGTTTATGTGTAAATAAATAAAAATAAATTTCATACAATCAAAACGTGAAATGTCTAAATTTGTCTATTGTCTATTGGCTAAAATTAATTCATAAACCAACCAAATTTTGATTTTGTACGTATTTCTATACAGAGAATTTTATTCCCTTTAAATTGATGTGCCACTCGATGGGAGAGGGGTTGCATATTATACTGTATGTGGGAGTAGCTGAGAAGTCAACGGACGCGTTTTTGAAAATTTTATTTGTTAATAAGGATTACAAATTACAATCGGTGGTTAGTTTTGAAATAAAGTTCCTAATATACAGAGTGTTACCTTTGTAAAAAACCAAATTGGGGGAGAGGGGATAAAAAACAGCTTCTCGGTTTATTTGAAAATAGTGCTTGCTTTGATCCCCTCTGCCACCCAATTCTTTTTAACATACATATAATAGGTAACACCCTGTAATCAAAAATTATCAAACTGGGAAGTTGAATCAGTATCACGCAAGCTGCAGTAATCTGCACGAGCAGCGAGAGTGACCGAATTTACCGCGTGTTTCGTAATAAAAAGCACGCGTCTAATTAACTACGAAAAGTTAAAAACTCGAAATCGCCCATTGTTGTCTAAGAAAGAATGTTTAAAACAAAATCAATGAGAATTAACACAGGCATTAATTAATGCGGCGACTGAATCGAATATCAATGTTGCTTTAAAGAACATTGTTAAAATACCGGCGACTGACATAATGAGCTACTGTGTGTATATTTTATAGCTAAGTTGCCATTTTTAGCCTTGCTAGGATTTAAACGGCGTGCTGTCTAATTAAGGTATACAAAGGCCTCGATATACCTAAGGTAATTGTTAGCTATGTATAGAAAGCTTTAATTAATAATTAAATCTGAAACTACACAAGATAATTAACTAACTTCGTTAATTATAAAATTTTGAAAGTTTTCCTACTACAAGTTTTATGTAATTTGCAATGTAGTTTGAATAATGCCAAACTAATACACCTACGAGTAAAGAGAGAAGAATAAGGTAAGAATGAAAATTGAGGCAAAATGCCTACTTTAAATCGATCTGAGAGCTTTTCAACTTTTATTCACTTGCTTCAAAGCTCTTTGAGATCAATTAGCGGTAATTTAATTACAGGTGTATAAAGAACCAATTAAATGAATTCTTCTAACTTGCGCTTTGTTTCGGAGAAGCCTGCAGATTTTCTTCTCCACAACTCGCTAAGATTATAAACTATGAGATTTAATTAGTTTCGATTTAATTTGCAAGTCCTCCAACTGAATAGGGGTAGTAAAACTGCACTCGATACAACGAATGCGGTTCACTTAATTCTCGCACGGCACGTAAAAGGCGCATTATATCAAGCCAAACTTAACGGCCTTGAGATAAAAGGCAAGGGACGTAAATAAATTTATTGGAGGTTATGCGATTTGTTAATATCATATTTGACCCACACGAACCCGTGAACTTCACACGCAATCGGCTACTTACCACTACAAAAAGAGGTGGCAAATTAAATCCAACAACTCCTCGAAAATACTAGCCGCTTTATAATCAATATCGTGAATACTTTATGTAAAGCAGTGTTTGAAAAGTATTTCAATATCAAACAAAGAAGGGCGCTTTGTAAAACTTTCTGCTTAGGAAAACACCTAATTAATCGCCTCGGGCGCGACACCGTTAATGGTCGAAAATTGAGCTATTTATTTTTATACTCTCGATTCATTCGATTCGGTACGTAGGCACCCAATTTACAAATATCAGTTAAATTACATTATACATTATTCGTTAACTTCCCAGTCGGAAAAAAAGTGCTCCCAGTTATTCCGAAATTACTCGTTTTAGACCTATTAGCTGGATTGGTTCTGGTTGTGTCATTGCTTATGGAGTTATTAATACATAAATGAACGGTTATTGATATATAATTTTCCTTCTTTAAATAAAAAGCAAATTAATTTAGTTAATGGGCAGGGTGCGATGAAAATGTGTGAAGTTGACATGGAAAAAAGGTATCTGATGTGGTCTTCTCTAGCGATTGGCATACAACTTTTTGTTACCGCTTCGTGTACACGATTATCTAATAAAAAAGGTGGACGATGGGACGTGTATCAAAACCTCAATCAATCATTAGCTAAGATATGGATCAGCAGTCAATTAAACATACATGTGTTTCCATTGTGATGTTTAATTCATGGCGTTTGGCGAAATTAGCACTTCGATTTTTAGGACCTTTAACCCTCAGTCTTAACGCTGGTGACCATTCTATTTTTTTGTTACTCGATTCATTTGGGGTTTGTTGGGCACAGGTTGGGTCTCTGGATCTAAGCACAAGATCTGCTAGGGGATATTTCTCCCGATCCATTTCTTCTTTCGCTATCTTGCACCTCAACCACTTCTTTTCCGTCTAATTTCTTCAAGGGAGATTTGAGAAGGGGCTGCTCTATCTTTTCACCTTCCTATTCTCCATCTTTTTTCTAATCTTTATTCCCATTTCTGTTCCATCGATTGTATGTTTGTACGCATTGATGTGTGGATGACACACAGCAGGAAAGAGGTAGGTGTGCTTTCCCCTCGGGTTTTCCTGTGCACATTATTCCACTTCGTACCGATAGCGATAGTGGGATAGGATTGAGAAAATCCTTTAAGGGATGCCCTCTTTAGGCTGGGGTTAAAACTTGAACCTCTCTACCGTCTCATGAGTGTAGCAGGCTGGAATTTTCGTACAACAGAATCCGGTTGAAGCACCAGGAATCCGAATCAAATAAAATCTCGATGATGTCTGTCTGTCTGTCCGTCCGTCTGTACGCTCATTTCCCGTTAAACGACTGAACCGGTTAGAACCAAATTTGGTACACATATTCAAAGTTTTTGGGCAGAACGCGCATGCGCAGGTGTTCGATTGGTACATGAACTATAAATTAAGATGGACTGCTAATGCTGAATTGACAAATGACACCTGCATGGGGACAGCGATGATGTGCACTCACTTGGCGCGAAATTCAAACCAACTAACAAACAAGCATTCACCTCACCTTTTCTAAATAAATTACTGTGACACATGTCATTTTCCAAGGCTGCAATAGTCTCAACACTTGAGCACTAGGAAAATTTCCCTAGAAAATAACTAAAAAGTGCACATCATAGCCGCGCCTATGCTAGAGCCATTTCTATCTCTATGGAACTATTTGATCAGCAGTCCATCTTAATTTATAAGTTCGTGAATTGGTATCTGTGCTAGCCACAGCAAACTTTTTTGTATTGCTATAACAGGAGTGGGTATAACATAATTTGGGAATAAATCTGTTAATTCTATCCTCCTATGCCATAGTTTCTGATAAAAAAATTAAAAAAACTATCGCGCTTATTTATTAAAAGTCTCAAAATCACAATTTCTCGTAATTCATCAGAAAAATTTAACTAGAAACGAGTGATAGTAATCAGAAGGTTTCAAAGATTGTACATATTTTTTGCTTTGAGAATGCAGTTCAAAAAATTATAATGCTTATAAGTAAAACCTCTTATTTGTGTATAAAATTTAATTTGAAATAGGTCAAAAGAGAAGAGGTGGCTAATCTACAATAGATTTTAGAATCATATGATTTAAACGACCTGTAATTAATTTTTAAATATTCCATTTAAGCAATATCCCTTATGCCATCTGTATCTTTTCTCTGTAAGCTCATTGTAGTTTTGTTGCACAGTTTCTTATTCTTCCGCTAGAGGTCTATAGAGACAATGTGGCGTTATTTTGTATTGGTATGAGTGAATTCAATTGGACACCCCCCATCTCCCATGATTGTCTTGGAACTATCTATCTGTAATTTAGCTGCGCTCAATTAACGTTTTGATGTTTTCAAAGGATCCAATACGTTTAATGTTGACTGCACGATATATCCGTTTTAATCGTGGGCATGTAAACAAATGCCCAGTTGGCGATGCCATTTGGACAACGATCAACTACCAGTAGATTAATTGCATTAAAGAATGAAGCGCCATAGGTACTTATCGTGTCATTACTTTAATTTACTATCAAATTTAACGGGCATTACACACTTGCCAATTTGGCGAACATCTATAGCTAAAAATTTTATAACATAACGTACTAACCTGTACAATATTCCAATTGGTTTCAATCACGACTCCTGCGTGGCCTTCCAACCTTTCCTTTACGTACGGTAGGCGTCGATGCGGCCGAATTTTTGAGAAGTTTGTGCCAATCCTGTTCACAGACTAAGCTTCCCGCCAACATATAGTAACGATCACCGGGCACCAAATTCGCACCACATTTGCTACACGTGAAACATTTTATATGAAATACATGTGCGCCCGGCTGCTGCTGCGAAGGACCGCCCGATCTCATCACCATTTCATTAGCGGCTATCAATTGTCCACACGCCGAACATGCACCCGAACAGAACATCCTGCAACAATCAAAACGGCGCACTTTAATTTTCCTTCATTAAATTGTAGGTTTTAATTAGTTGTCGGATGGCGCGCAATTAAGGGTAGGTACAGATCTTATCCCCGTATAGGAAATTAAATGAAATTTCGCATGTACATACAACTCTCTAATTATAAAACTACCTTAGTTAAACTTTAGGGCTTTACGAACCATCAGTCAAAAATAATTAAAGCGAAATAAATAGCTATTGCATATGGTTGCTGTTCGTCAGGAGAATTTGCATTTACCTGACTGTTAATGTAAAGTGGGTGCATTAATCAGAGTGCAGCCCGCAGTGACAGAGCAGTTGCACGATGTTATTAAAACGCTAGTACAAAGCAGCTAATTAATTTTATGCAACGCCACACTTGAATGACTTTCATAATGAATACACTTGTGTAGCTTTATTTTTCGTGAAACTTATATGTATACGTACCCTCCACCTATATAGCTATAGCATGTATATATAGGAGCAAGATCGAAATGATTGACGGCTCATACCGAGGTTGCGCTGCTAATTACTTTCAAGTTTCTCATTAAAGGTTTACTAATTAAACCGATTTTTGCACGGAAAATAAGATGCATTCAAACTAAAATATAAAATCCTGTCTTTTTTATTCGTTAACGTAAGATTACTAACATCCCAAATAACGTTACGCATTGCTACTGGAAAAAAAGGTGAATTGAGGGTGAGGGTGAATAATGCATATCCATCCAAGACACGTATATTCTTCAACATGTAATAGTACTCATTGCCAATCTACCCTAATTAAGGGTGTGACATCTGATATCAATTTCAGTCTGTTTCGATTTTACTTGTTTTTATTCTAGAAAATGCCCACCAGAAAATTATGCTCTTATTGAGAGCTTCCAAGAAATCGCCCCACATATAAGAAATGTGGTTCTGCCTATCGCGTAAATTGTGCAATATTTTGAAAATCTCCGAGAAAACCAAGCTACCTTTCATTGGGAGTACAGGAGTTTCCGTCTTTATTACTGTAAAATAAGGTAATCGGAGTTTTCTTAGATTTGTATGTTTAATTCATTACCGTGCCTTTAAGGGCAAAAAGAATTACACTTTTGCCATTTAAGTAAAAAAAAAACCTTTAAAGAATCGGTACCTTCATATTGTTAGAAATGTGTATGTATTTTATTGAACCCACTTAGTAGGGATAATATTTTTTTGTATTGAATAGTAGTTTTAAATAGGTAGGTAGTGAATATCCTATAGTTCGCTTCAGAAAATTCTACTTTTAAGGTTGAGAATTGTGGGGTAAAAATTGTTATTATTGTTTAATAAGGGACTAGATAAGATAAAAAGATGGCCACTTGGTTAGGCGGTCCATAATTATAAAGGGAGAAAATAATATAATAGCGCACCACCTTATTACTCGAGAATAGTTACGGAATTATTAAGTGCGACAGTGACATTATCAATTACCTAAGAAGATTTTAAACACAATACTTACAATATACGATAAACAACAAGATTTGACCCCAACTATGTATATTTGAGGAATTTTCTAGTAAAATGCATCGTTAACTACACTTTACATTAAACAAAATACAACTTTGTGCCGAAAACTGATGATTGTTCTAGAAACATTTCAAAGCCGTTCAATCCTTCTCAAACAAGTGCCTTAAGAACATGTAAACACATTTCCGATATCTTAATAATCATAAACAAATACCTCGAGACTTATAGTTTAAGAGTTACCCATAGCATCCTTGGAATTACCCCATACTAACGACAAAATTGGGTCACCATGTACATAGGTAATGCACTGGGGTAAAAAATGACCCTCGCTTTATTGATGGAAATACACGTTTTGAAGCACCAAGAACTCGAATCAAACAAATTCTCGATTATGTCGGCCTGTCTCTCTGTCTGTGCTCTCATTTTCGGCTAAACGGCTGAACCTATTGGAACCTAGTTTGGTACACGTATTCTTAGACATAAAAGGAAGAGCTCAAAAGTTTTTGGGCAGAACGCGCATGCGCAGGTTTGCATTTTTTTTTGTAATACTACAGGCAAGGCAATAAGGAAGTAGCACGAGCATGCGTCAAACGAGAATTGCAATTAAACGGGACGTCGGAAGTGGGTACCGACAAAGGGAATGTGGTTGCCCCCGACGAGATCTTACTGATGGTGGAGTCAAAACTTAACGTATAATGAAGTTGAATAATTGTTGTTTTATGAGGTAAATCTTACTCGTAGAGTAAATACAAATGAGAATCTAAAAACGATTGATCCCCTTCGACTTCGACAACTTTTTCAACATGAAATCTATTCTAGCTCGGTGATTTTTTTCCCATTATTCGTAACACCGAATTAAAAACGTTTAATTATCATAAGAAAAGAAAAACTAATTAACGCCCTTAAACTCTATCGTAAAAAATACGTGCAGGTAACTAATATCTCATTACACATTGTTTATTGAGGCGTAGATAGCCTTGTAAACAAACCACATATTATAATTTCCTTTTAAAAAAACAAAGTACTTTGATAATTTAATAACCACGCAAATAAATTGTAATTATTTACGCGAACAGTTATTTTAATAGCAAAAAACGAACAAATTTTAATTTTATATTAGTATTTGGTGAGTGTATACAGGTAAATTGTGTATGTTTTTAATTTAAAATACGTTTTACGTTATTATGAAAGATAAATCAGATTTATTGAAGTGTGATATGATTGCCTATAACGCTTTGTACTAGTATTAGTTTCATTGACATTATTTGCAATTCTTGCAACGAAAACATTTTACGCGAAAATTCTCAAATCTTTAACACGAGAAACTTAATAATGATCTCAAAATAATATTCATGAGCGGTTACTAACATAAGAAAAGTGACTTTCTTTTTTGTAAATGAGCGCCATATCGAATTTTCACATTTGTAAAGCTTTTTGTTCACCTTTTCAGCAATGTCAAATAATTTACGATTGAGCAAAAAGTATTTTGTATACGTTAATCGAGTACTTGGAGTTGAGTTCAAAAATACAATAGCTTGAAGGGCTAATTTTGTAACTCGAAATAGCCATTTATTAGTATTTAGAAATTCCAGAGGCTAATTACCAAAAAAATATTGTACCCAAAAGGATACAATGGTCCCTACTCCAACCACTCAGTAGATGGAAGTACGGAACAAGCACATTCTAAAAATTTATCAAAACCAACATGACAATGCTGGTATCGCAACTCCCCAACACCGAGGTAATGAAATAATTTTCAACACAGTCCTAAGGTGCCATCTAGCAACTAGGAAAAATGTTTTTTTAATATATTGATATATACTCAGTGACATGGAAATTGCAACACCAAGAAGGAGTTGGAATTTTTTGACCAAACTTGGCAGAAACGTTTAGCTACTAAAAGGTAACAATTGATTAAAATTTAAAAGAAAAAGGATGAAATATAAACATATATTTTTATTAATAATAATAGTAGTCCCTCCCTATTGGTTACGCACTCCCTCACGCTTCGTAGCATCGATTTTAGCAGACGGCCGATTTCCTCTTGAGGTATTGTGTCCCAAGCAACTGTGAGTAACCTCTAATTCATTGTGTAGAGCTTGTAGCGTCTGCGGAGGATGCGGTAAGTTCATCAGTCTTCTCTTCATAATGTCCCAAACTTGCTCGATAGGCGATATACTGGGAGATCTGGGTGGCTATGGCAAGAAATTGACATTATCATGTGCAAATAAGTCCATAGAACGTCTTTCAATGTGGGGAGGGGCATTATCCTGCTGGAAAACTGGGTCTTCCAACTGCTGAAGAGATGGAAGAATATCGGGTTCTATCACGTCATCCACATATCGCTGGGGGGTCATATTACCTCGAATGAATAACAAACGAGCCCTACTCCCATAACCTATAGTACTCCATACCATAGTCCCCACAGCTTAGTGCACATGCCTCATAACAAAAAATTCAACACTGCGACGTTCCCCACGTCTTCGGCTGCCCTTCATACGGCCATCATGCATACCCAAACAAAATCGGGATTCATCACTGAACACCACCCAATGCTACTCTAGGTTCCAGTGCAGTCGCAACCTACACCACTCCAAACGCTGCTGGCGGTGTTGAGCTGTTAATGGTAACAAAAGATGTGGCCGATAGGATTGCAAGTCGTAAGCTCTGATTCTGCGGTAAACCGTTCGATGTGTTACAGGACGACCTTCGTTAGCTAACAATTGGTCGGCAATTGACCTGGTACTAGAGAATCGGTTTCTTGTTGCCATAAGTCAAAGATGGCGATCCCGCACTTCAATTGTTCTTTTTCGACCCCCACCCTTTCCTGCCCCCTCCCTTTCCTCTATACGACGATCCTGCCCCTTCCCAAATCCATGCCCGATTGCAGAGAATCATGATGGATTGGCTTCGGTTAAGGTGACTTGCAATTTTTGTGAACGAAAAACCACCTCCGCCCAAACCAACAGTACGACACCTGTCAACTTCTCTTAATTCGCGGTAATTTCCACTTTGGCGTATTCAGGCATGATCACAGGCCACAGCATCAAAAGAAACGATTAAAAGCGAAAACAATAAGAACTGAACAAAATCTCGCAAAACGTACGCGATATAAGAATACTAGAAAAAATGAAAGAGCTGTCAAATAAGCCATTACCACTTGATTCATATGAATGAAATGTTAATCAATTGTTACCTTTTAGTAGTTAAACGTTTCTGCCAAGTTTGGTCAAAAAATTCCAACTCCTTCTTGGTGTTGCAATTTCCATGTCACTGAGTATAGAAAAATATAGATATTTTGATAGAGAAAAATAAATGTATAAAAGAACTTTATTAAACTTTCGTATTGTACCAGTTTTGATACATTGCTTTTTTTGCTATTTTAGCGAAAACTTTAGGGCAAGCTTTATGATGTTCTCATACAGTGTGTTCCAACTAAAGTCTGAATTATTCCTAAACTTATTATGGAAGCTACAAAATTAAATTACCAAATATAAAGCATT